CGAATTATTATAGAAATAAAAGGAGTAGTAAATGATAAAGAGAAGGATATTACATTTAATGGGATAAGGCAAGAAGAAATATATGAAAAAGGGGAAAAAGTCAATAATATCTTATTAAAGAAATTAGAATTGAAGAAAGTAAAACAAGAAAGGGGTGTAGACGAATTATTAGAGAGATTGATTCTAATATTATTATCACACCACTATTCACTAATTTTAAAGTATATTGTTCAGAAAGTAATTATGATAAAGAAAATCCTAATCAAATAGAACAAATGCCTGATTGTTATTTGAGTAATTGTGTTCAAATACCTTATTATTATTAGAATTTGAATTTAATTGGTGGTATATTACTAAGTGATTATTATAAGGGATATAATTTACTAAATTCACCAGTTCCAATTCTATTTGAACAAACAGGATGTTCTAATATTGATGAATCAAGGTTAAAAGGCATAGTCAATGTAAGAGAAAAATAACAAGAATAAGATATTTGATATGATTTACTTTACTTAGACTGAAGTTATATAACATAACATTTATTGCAATACTCTTTTAAATCTATTAAAAGAAAAGAAAAAGAGTAATGAAGTAAATGTTATATATAAATAATCTAAGTATAGCAAATATAATTAAATTTTTATTCTTTGTTTTTATCTTAGTTTTAATAATATATTTCAAATACAAAGATAAATGGATATAATATTTTATATATTTCAATATAAATTTATTTTATTTTAAATTATTATTGATTCATATATTTTTTATATTATTTTTATCAATATAATTGATATTATTTCACTTTTTATTATACATACTCATTATTAACACTTTTCAAATGATAAAAAATAAGAGAAGTTTAACAATAATCATCATTTCATTTGATTGTAATTTTCATAAATAATAGCAGAACAAAAATATTTCATAATTAAATAAAATGAACCAGAATCAATATTTTTATTATAATTCAATTTATTATTTGAATAAGAAATTAGAAATTATTTTACTATTTAATTATTCATCATTTAATATAATTTCATTTTATATTAACTTTATTTTATTTAATTCATTATTTTTATTTGAAAGAATGAGTTAGTTTTAACACTAATGATTTGTTTATTATAGTCAATAATAGTGTTTATGAGACACTCATATTGTAGTATTATTAGTGATTATTTTTATAAGCCATTTACAATTGATTTGGTTACTATTTTCATTATTATCAAAATTTATTTAAAATTAATCAATTGATTTTATTTTAATTAGATATAACAATAAAACTTTATTCAGTAAAAATAATGGTATTTATTTAAAGACTAATGTAAATATTATTTTCTTTTATCACTTTTATTTATTCTATCAAAGACCATCATTTCTAGTTTATGTTCATTAATATAATTTGTTATTCCATTATTGTTTCTATATTCTTGTTTGTTAGATTTATACTTTTATATTCTATTTGTTATTTTACACTAATAAAGATTAAGAATATTCATTGTTAATCAATCAGTTCAATAGTTATTCTGTTTATTTATTATTTTTATACTATGATTTTATTTTTCTTATTATTCGAAGAATTTTATAAATAAGTTAGTTCATATTATTTAATATCTTTTGTTTTCCATTAATTAACTTTCAAAAAAATTAAAACAAATTCAATATTATTTGAATTTCTTCATAAAAACAACCAAAAATTATTTAAAAAATTGAATTTATTCATAATGGCATATATTTTGAATAAACCCATGTTCTATAAAGGAAGTCTCTGACAGATAATCTGCTTGAGAAGAATCACAGTCCATTGCTGTGAAATAACTAATATCAACAAAATCTGGATTATTTTGTGGCATAGCTTCATTATAATTTGAATTCTCAAAATTCACCAACCTTGGATCTACATTAATTAATGATACATTATTATCAATCTGTGTGTATTGGTTGTCACTAAAATGCGAGTCTATATTATTATATGATAGAATATTTTCCGATGAACCACTATGGCTAATAATATCCAATTCTTGTTGTAAAGCTTCAGCACATTTATTTAATTGTTGAAATGATTCAGATCAATATATGAATATGAACAATGTTCTAATACTTGAGAACTAATATGGTCATTAATACAATTAAATTGATATTCATCAAAAATTGGATCTTCTAAGAACTCTTCTTTTGATAATTTAATGGTGTTTTGATCAATGATAATATTATTAGATATTTCATTATAACAGTCTTTGCTCCCAACAAAAAGACCTTTTAATTGAGGTGTATTTGTTTTTAATAAATATGAACAAAGAAAATTATATACTGGAGTTCCAATTTTTTCTAAAACTTCTTCATTCTTATAAACACCAATAACTTCACCATCTTTATTTACTAAAGGGAGTTTTTGATATTGTTGGCTGCTAACGCCATATTTTGAACTTTTTGTGTAAAGTAATTTAGTATTACACCCAATATCTTTATATTTATTATAATATTCATTAAGAATATTCATAATAACAAGTTCATTATAATTTAATTTCTTTTTATTTTCTATTTTATCCTCAATTGATGTTTTCTTTATAGGAATTCCTTTATTATCAAAATTTAATAGAACAACTCCTGTTTCTGCTTTAATTAAATCATATTCAAGGTTTTCATCAAACATTATTACCCCATTTTGATTCCATATTTTTTGAATCGGGAAGAAATGGTCTAACTTTCCTGCTATTCTTTTCTCTTTTGAAAAAAGAAATGACCATCCTTTAGTTATCAGATAATAACACCCAGATAAGATATACTTTCTTCTTTTATTTGTCGATTGTATTTTCATTAGAGCTTGTTGGCTAGTAGCTTTAACTGTTCTTTTTGACATATATTAAATAGAAATTGAAGTTCTTTTTATATTAAATAACTATTTTTGTCAAGCCAATTTCAATAAACATCATTAATCTTTTTATATGGAATAAAAGAATAGTTTATTTATGATTTTTTTGTTGATTTTTTCTTTGAAACTTTCAATTCCTCTTTCATTTATACCTTTTTTAAATTTGCAAAGTAGAATGATTATGAAGAATTTATGATTTACTTATGAAAAATAATGAATTAAAAAAAAAAATTAAATCTAATTTTATCTATAGTATTTTAATTTTTTGTTGTATTCTTAAAAATCAAAGAATTATTTATTTTAATTTATTTTATAATAAAAACTTTCTATATAAAACTAAAAATATTTATAATTATTTATTTTTTATTCTTTTGAACTAAAATCAATTTAACATTCTATAATTTTATAAGAGATAAGATTACATAATTCTTTTTCTAATGTTATTTCGTTTCTTTTTTTAGTTATTAATTCGAAATTTAATATACTTCAAAAAAAAATTATCAATATAGTAAAATCTTACTTTTTTAATTGATAGTGTATTATTATATCTTATATTCAACAACATTTATTATACTTTAAAGAATAGTGTATTCTCAGATAATTAAAGTATGATATTATATCTTTTTATCTAATAAATTGATAAAGATGTGTAAGTATAGATTATTATAATCTGTAATAGGTTACATTTTTTTTTAATTCTCATATTATTTATTTATTTTTGTTAAAATAAATATTTTCAAAGATTCGAAGGTAGCACGTCAAAGACACCACACAGAACCCTAAAATATTTCCATCCTTTGATTCCCCCAATTATGGACTGGTTATGACGTTGCATTTGGTTAGACAAACATCTTAATCAATACTACAAGAATAACAGTGTTTATTATGTACAATGACAGAACATCATTGACAATAAACGAATGGGTATTTATAAAGATGTTATTATTACTTGTTAGAATACAAGTATAATTGATAATATAAGAAAGATTATCAAAGGAAAAGGGTCAAGTGGATGAGACTAAAAGAATATTAGCCCAAAGCAATACAGTGGTAATTATATACTCTCCTTAAAATAAGAAAATAAAGAAGAAGAAATTTAAACCCATCAAAATTAAAAAGAAATTAAATAATGAATATTTAAATAAGGGATGTTTAAAATACTCTATTCCACATCAAAAATGAGAAAAGAAAATTCTCACAATTCAACAACTAGAAGCAAAGGATAAGCCAAAAGTTGAAGAACAAATACATTTAAAGCTCAGGGATGGGATTATTTAATCTCCCCTGAGCAAGGAACAATAGAAGATATTTCTATTAATACTTAATTAACTACTTTTTTAAAATAAATATTTTTAAAATGAAGTTGAAGTATATCCTCTAAATAATAAAAATATATTATTGAATAAAATGTATTATTCTCTAAAATAATAAATATTTTATTGATAATTCATATAATGATATTATATTCTTATTTATTATTTATTTGTTATTATTATTTAACATTACTTGATTTAAATTCAAACTGATGAAACCAATAATTTAATACAATGAATTAAATTAATATTAATGTTATTTTACATATAAACATGTTATTTTCTTATTTCTTAAAGTATTATTTAATTGTATATGTTTATAAGATAATATCAAAACAATACGTCTTTGATTTATTTGATTCTATTATTCAATAAATGATAAAAGTTAAACTCTCTTTTAGTTTAGTTAAATAATTATTTTATATTAAAATAAGTGTGTTATTTTATTGATTATATTTTGTATTTTATTTGAGTATAATTTTTATTGTTTTTCATAGTGAATTTATGTTTATTTTAATCTTCATAATTTGAAAATCATATTATTACAAATACTAGAAATATATTCTACAATAATTACTAATATTCATTGAGAAACTAAAAGATTGTTTTCATTAATAGATAATTTAATGAAATAAACTGGTTATCAATATTTTTATTGTTTATATTATTTAACAAGACATTATTTTAGTAAAGAATAATATTAAAATAAGCGTGGTTATTCTGTATTCAAATATGAAAAAATAATTTGTTTTGTTTAAATGGGGATTAACTGAATTACTCTTCAAAGATGAGTTAAATTATAATAATATTCTTATTATTAGAGCTTTACTTAAAGATATAACAATTAACAACTCTCATCTGATATTGTAATTTTTGATTGTTAACTAAAAAATGTTCAAAACTAAAAAAAAGAGAATTCTATACAAGAAAACTCAATTTACTTATAAAATAAAATTAAATTAAAAAATAGAATTCTCAATATAAGTGATGGTTTTCAAAAAGAGTTAATAGATACAACCACTCCATGAAATAAAAATAATTCTAATTATTATTTATTGAGTCTTCTAATAAATTAATTGTAATTATTCATCTAATTATTACAAAACACCTCTATACATAAAATTTAAGTTTATTAATCAGTGAATAACGAAATCAACAAAGAATAAAAGTATTAAAATGATTCAATCATTTAAGTAATAATCTAAATACGATATTACAACATTATGAAATCTATCATAAAATTAATAAAAAAGACATACTCAAATGATCAATACAAAAGATTAGTATTCCTTCTTTTAAAAATTGATTAACTTGTGTTGTTAATATGAATGTATTGAAAAGAGTCATCAATAAATAATAAATTAAGTGAAATGATAATATAAAATAAATTAAAATATTCTGACAATTCTAGATAAAGAGATTCGAATATTGCATATTAAAGACACTAAATAAAATTCTAAAATATTTACATTCTTCAAATTCACTAATTATATTCTGGTTATGATATTGCATTTGGTTAGAAAAACATCTTATTCAATATTCAAAGAATATTAATGTTTATTATTTATGATAATGGAATATCATTGTTAATAAAAGAATGATTATTTATAATGATAGTATTATTGTTAGTTAGGATACAAATGTATTTAATAATAAAGGAATATCAAAGAAAAAGGGTTAAAAGTTGATGTTAAAAAGAATATTAGCCCATAGTAATACAGTAGTAATTATATATTCTCCTTAAAATAAGAAAATAAAGAATAATTTTAATACTCATCAAAACCAAACAAAAAATTAAATAATGAATATTTAAGTCAGAGATATCTGAAATACTTTATTCTAGAATAAATAAAGAAGAAAAGAAAATCACAGAATTCAACAACTAAAAGTTAATAATAAGCTACTAATTGTTGAACAAACAATTCTAAAGTAAATGAATGTGATTAGTTAATCTCCACTGAGCAATGAACAATAGAAAATAAATCTATTAACACTTAATTATCTACTTTTTTATAAATACTTGGAATTAAAAAATAATAAAAAATTTTATAAATGTTTTTTGGAAATGATAATGTAATATAATATTGATGAATGTTTCGAATTAATAAGAAATAGCTTTAATCATTAAAAGAAGAGTTATTATAAAAAGTCATATTATATTTAAGGGAGATGAAACTGATTCTAATAAGATTGGACCAAAATTTTACCCTTCAGATTGATTGCTTTACAAGGCATTTTGACTGTTTTTACCTTAAGACAATGAGAGGCATTTGATGAACAAAAATATTGTTTTGGTTAGTTATAACTCTCAAGATTTTTACAATTTGTTTTTGACGTAATAGTTACATAATCTAATTACTGAAAAGAAAGGTGGTTTTTTAGTAAATAATGAATGAATTAAAAAAGAATGGAATTGACAAATACTGCCTAATGGAATAAGAGTTAAATGATTTTAAATAAAACAATACCAATACAGTAAATATTGCAAATAATTCTAAAACTAAATAGATAGTAAAAGAATCTTTTAAGTCTTTTTATGTTAGAACTGTTTCTAAAGAAGAAGTTATATTCTGAGTTCGATGAATTAAATGTGGTGGTACTAAAAGAGTTGATGATTCCTATAACAGACATTTGTCTCAAATAAAAATCTGAGAAAACATAATGATATATTTCATATTTCAGAAATAAAAAATGTATTAAGAAGATAAAAGTTATAAAATAAAGATTAATTTCAAAGAAGAATTGAAATGGGATAAATAAATGAACGAAAATTATTTATAAAATCGTAAAGAATTCAAATTAGTTGAATTAAATAATTGTTAAAGATCAAAAATTAGCAGTGATTTAACGTTCAATCATAGATTAAAAATATTGTCATTGTTTTATTAAATTTTTGACACTTTATGTTTTTGTGCCAGATTAAAATATAGACTTTTCCTTTTCTATAAGTTCATTAAAAATAAATTAATCAAGTTTTTATTTCTTTTGTCTTTAAAAAATCAATTTTATTTGTTTGTATAGATGCAGGAGTTAATTATATTTGATTAAGGAAATATCATAAAATAGTTGTACAAATTGAATATTAGGTACGAGTAAGATATTACTAATTTATAATAAATTAAATTGAGAGATAAAATATATGGTATTAAATTTATTATATCAATATGTTCATAATAACCAAAAAGATTTAATTAGAACACATAATAATCATACTATACTATCTATTAAACAAGCACTTATCTAAATATAAAATGAAAATATTAATTATGTATTGAGAAGATTATAAATTAAAGAAAACATATTATCAGTGGTTATGTATGTACTGTAAACACAAAATAAAAAGAAAATAGCATCATATATGTTTATTGAAAATATTTCTAAAACATCAGGATGATGTTGTATTTAGTTATTAATTAAATTCGACAAATAATAAATAACTATTAAAAAGAAAAAAAAATATCAATTAATAGATATATCCATAATTGGATTTTATGATTATTGAGAAGTGATTGTTTCAGTGAATTCAATATGCTCTATTTCTACATTAGAGTTCACTTCTAACATATGAGAATTAGAAGGTTCCTCTTCTAATGTGTTGCCAGTGTTGAATGTGTAGAACATTAAGTCTTTCATGTTTTTAATAATGATTGTTCGTAGTATTTTGGGGAAGTTGAT